TTTCCCCAGCCACTCTGGGTGGCTTCCAACAAAGTTTAAAAACACATTCAAATGTCACACATTAAAAACTTCCCTAAACAGGGCTGCCTTCAGATGTCTTCTAAATTTCAGATAGTTTTTTATTTCCTTGACATCTGATGGGAGGGTGTTCCACAGGGTGGGTGCCACCACCAAGAAGGCCCTCTGCCTGGTTCCCTGTAGCTTTGCTTCTTGCAGTGAAGGAACCACCAGAAGGCCCTCGGCACTGGACCTCAGCATCAGGGCAGAAAGATGGGGGTGAAGACGCTCCTTCAGGCCTACTGGACCGAGGCCGTTTAGGGCTTTAAAGGTCAGCACCAAAACTTTGAATTGTGCTCAGAAATCTACTGGGAGCCAATGTAGGTCTTTCAAGACTGGTGTTATGTGGTCTCGGTGGCCGGTTCCAGTCACCAGTCTGGCTGCCCCATTCTGGATTAGTTGTAGTTTCCGGGTCACCTTCAAAGGTAGCCCCACATAGAGCGCATTGCAGTAGTCCAAGAGGGAGATAGCCAGAGCATGCACCACTCTGGCGAAACAGTCTGTGGGCAGGGAGGGTCTCAGCCTGCGTACCAGATGGAAGAGCTGGAAGGGACCAATGGTGGAGGAAGGGGGTGCCGCGGGTGCCATGCTCCCCGAGTGTCATCCCTTGGGGGGTTGACATCATTGCACCCCCTGGATGCTCACCCCGCCCCCACAGGCAGCTAGCCCCACCTCAGATGCACAGCATATGTGCCTCTCCAGATGCCAGAGCAGCTAGCTCCACCTCTGGAAGGGACCCCCAAGCGTCACCTACCCCCTGAAATTCAGGAATCACAGTTAAAGAATCCCTGGTGCATGGTTTTGCAACCTTGTTAAAAACCTCCAATGAAGGAGACTTCCTCTGTTTGCATAATTCTTTTTTTGTGCTTCATTAGCACTGAAATTCATGGCAGTGCAGATTACGCCCGCCCGTGTCACCTTTAAAGAAACGAAAACCTTTATGTCTACATGAGGCGTGGGACGGGTCACATGCCATGAAGGGGAAGGGACAGAGAGATGCCTCTGTGCCAGCCAGGATGGAGGCAGCTGCCGCGCGGAGGCCTCAGGTGGGCACTGTGAGCAGCCAGGCGGTGCTAATGTCAACACAGAAGCAGCTCATCAAAGCCTGTTACTGTCAATGATCAAATTGGAGATGGCTCAATTAAGGTGCAGTGCCACGGGCGCCCCCATGCCCTCTCCCTGCTTGGCATGTCCCCGTTGCACATTAACTCTCATGTCCCACATCTCTGCCAGCAGCGTCCAGTCGGGCGAAGGAGCCTTTGTTATCGCTGGGCTGCTGCGAGAGCTGGGAACTTATTAATTGAATTCTAAAATCTGCGTCCCAGGTGCTGCCCTTTCACCTTTTGATAATGAAAATGCGAAATTTTGCGGACTGTCTCACCAGAGTGGTGCATGCTCTAGTTATCTCCCACTTGGACTACTGCAATGCGCTCTATGTGGGGCTCCCTTTGAAGGTGACCCGGAAACTACAACTAATCCAGAATGCGGCAGCTAGACTGGTGACTGGCAGCGGCCATCGAGACCACATAACATTGGTCTTGAAAGACCTACACTGGCTCCCAGTACATTTCTGAGCACAATTCAAAGTGTTGGTGCTGACCTTTAAAGCACTAAACAGCCTCGGTCCAGTATACCTGAAGGAGCGTCTCCACCCCCATTGTTCTGCCCGGACGCTGAGGTCCAGCGCTGAGGGCCTTCTGGAGGTTCCCTCACTGTGAGAAGTGAGGTTACAGGGTACCAGACAGTGGGCCTTCTTGGTAGTGGCGCCCGCCCTGTGGAACGCCATCCCTTCAGATGTGAAGGAAATAAGCAGCTATCTTCTCTTTAAAAGACATCTGAAGGCAGCCCTGTTTAGGGAAGTTTTTAATATTTAATGCTGTATTGCTTTTAACACTCGATTGGAAGCCACCCAGAGTGGCTGGGGAAACTCAGCCAGATGGGCAGGGTATAAATAATAATATATTATTATTATTATTATTATTATTATTATTATTATTACAAACACAGGGACCTGCCTCGCACCAGGACCAGGCTTTTTGTCCCAGAAACCCAGTGCTGTGACCTCTGACCACCAGCAATTTGCAAGGGTTGCCTTGGGCAGAGAAGGGTCTTTATCTGGAAGCTGATCTTTCTGAAACTGCTGCAGGTGCCAAGGGCCTTCTGCACTCAAAGCAGTTGCTGTGCCACTGAGTTTGGGGTGTCGAAGGGGCTGGAGGAGGAACATCACCCTCCCAGTCGATTGTAGATCTGCCACCATGTGCCCAGCTAGTCCTGGCACCTCCTGGCTGCTCCTCGTTAATTTCTTCCCCCCCCCTCCCCCCCCGGAGCTCAGAGCAAAGAAGAATGGGGGCATTAGTGTAAATGGTGATAAATGGCTCTTTTAGCTCTTGCTGGAAAGGCTACGATAACCTGATTAGGGCTGGTTCCCTCCTCTGCCTTCAGCGAGATGCTTGCGGGCTGGCCCTGCGCCAGTTTGACGTGTGTCTGGCATTCTGCACTGGGAGCTTTCAGGGCAGGATCAGAGCAAAAGCAACAGGGGGCTCCCTTGGTGTCCTTCCTTGCCCCCCACCCCCAGGCATTGAGCAAGCCACTCCCCATCACCAAAGGAGCGCTGCTCACCTGGTGGATCTAGCCTTTGGCTTGCACCCCAAGCAGTTAAAAATCTATGTTCAAACACTGGATAGGGCATTGCAAGCTGCCAGAGTGAAACATTGCAAATGAACATTGAATACAGTAAGGCAGCACAATCAACAGAAAAAAACAAAATACTCTTCAAAAGATATTAGAAATAAAAATCACATACAGCGATGCAATTGAGAAAATCTATGGATAGGGCATGAAGGGGATTTCAGTCCAATGAAAGCTCGTGCCGCCATAAATCTGGTGGTCTTTAAAATGCCACAAGATTCCAGGCTGTTTTAGCTGTGCCAGGCCAGTGTGACTCCCTCTCGAGAACTGTGTCTTCCCCTGTTCTTTCCTTCTCATTATTTTCCTTCCACGTGAGCTTGTTTAAAAAATAACTCGGCACCTCAAGGCAGGCGCAAGGCTGGGGAGGTCAGGTCCCTGGCTGGAACAGGCAGATCAAAAAGGATTCATTCCTGCCTCCTAAGAAGTTTTAATTGGAGATTCTTGTGGGTTTAATGTTTAATGCAAGTGGCCATAATTGGTTACCTCTTTCCATAGACGATGAGCAGAGGAGAAGCTCCCTGAGGGGTCCGCTGCCTTTGAATTGACAAAGCGTTCGTTCATGGGTTACGTCCCTGGCAAGGATTGTTGCTTGACAGAGCAAGGCCTTTGGTGCTACAGACTGGGGAGGAACTGATCTCCCGAGGGCAGGCTTAGAATTTGCCACATGTCCTCAATCAGGAGGACGTTGAGAAGCAGTGAGAGATTTTACCTTCTTGGGCTCCATGATCACGGCAGATGGTGACAGCAGTCACGAAATTAAAAGATGCCTGATTCTTGGGAGAAAAGCAATGACAAACCTAGACAGCATCTTAAAAAGCAGAGACATCACCTTGCCAACAAAGGTCTGTATAGTTAAAGGTATGGTTTTCCCAGTAGTGATGTATGGACGTGAGAGCTGGACCATAAAGAAGGCTGATCGCCAAAGAATGGATGCTTTTGAATTCTGGTGCTGGAGGAGACTCTTGAGAGTCCCATGGACTGCAAGAAGATCCAACCTCTCCATTCTGAAGGAAATCAGCCCTGAGTGCTCACTGGAAGGACAGATCCTGAAGCTGAGGCTCCAAGACTTTGGCCACCTCATGAGAAGAGAAGACTCCCTGGAAAAGACCCTGATGTTGGGAAAGATGGAGGGCACAAGGAGAAGGGGACGACAGAGGACGAGATGGTGGGACAGTGTTCTCGAAGCTACCAGCATGAGTTTGACCAAACTGCGGGAGGCAGTGGAAGACAGGAGTGCCTGGTGTGCTCTGGTCCAGGGGGTCACGAAGAGGCGGACAGGACTAAACGACTAAACAACAACAACCTCAATCAGGGCTGCAATGCTTCCATATCAGTGGTTGCCAAACCTTTTCAGGCCACCCCTCCCCCCTGGTTCCATGTATTCACCCCAGTGCCCCCAACTCTACCCCACAAGAAGCAGATTCCAGATTAGTGGTTTGCTGCGCATCCCACTTAGGAACGATAGAAGTCAAAACAGTACATTGCACATTGATTTGAGCTAAAAGGGTTTAGTTAAACTAATTCGACAGAAAGGACGAGCTAATAGTATTTGAATCAGAGATTAGATAGATGATTTATTATGGTCGGAGACCAGCTTATAAAACACACTTGGGGGTACAGTCACAGAAGGAAAACAAAGAATTGAAACAAAATACAACAATAAACTACTGCAGGAAGCTGACTCAGAGTCACCCATAGAACCAAGTTTGGGGATTATCTTAACAAACTAGTTTAAGCTGGGAGATGGTCTACGCCTACAGATCTGTACACAGAATCTGGCAACCATCCGGGTCGTCCTCTGATCTTTGCCTAACAGGAAAAGGTCAAATTTTTGCTTTTCCAGGAGGTCAGCGAGCCTCACCAGCAGGGGATCAATGGTCTCACTATGTGCCTCTTCATAAAAGGGACATCTAAAGAACAAGTGCTCTGGGCTTCCTATCTCCCCCAATGAACAGGCGCAAAGTCTCTGAGCATATGGGACTTTTTTAAAGGATCCTTCCAGGACCGGCGAGGGCAGGACCAAATCATAGATTAGTAGAGTTGGAAGGGATCAAGTGGGTGATCTAGTCCAGCCCCTCCAATGCAGGAATCTCAACTAGATCATGCATGACAGGTGGCCATCTAAACTCTGCTTAAAACCTGATCCAGCGGCCACTGACAGCCCTCTCCTCTGTGCATTTGTCCAATCCTACACATTCAGACAGAACTATGGCGCTGCTACTACTGTTCATAGCAATAACAATTCATTCCACCTTTTAGCTCTCGTAATTCAATAACTGAACAGCCCGCAACTCCACGGGTTGGGATCGGAATGCTAGCCCAGAGATGGCTTGCAGATTTGCCTCCAGAGCCGCGTCGGGAAGGCTGCCCACAAGCCGCTTCTGTGCAGAGTCGGCAACGCAGCCAAACCAGGGACGTCCCACTGCCTTAGACAAACAAGGGTTGCCGATCCGGCCGGCTGGCGTCCAGGCTCCTGGCTTTGCCCATTGTGGCCGGTCCTGGAGATGCACAGTGCCAGGCGGAGATTTCATTAATCCCACCCGCGGTTGGTCTGAATCCGCTGCCACCAGCACAATGCCTTTTTCTGTCTGCGGTGCCAGGGAGAGGCATGTTTCCTGCACCACGGACCACCTCCCGTTACTTCTCGACAAAAGCTGGCAAGCAGCAGACCACGGCCAGTGGAGCAAAACAGCCCAGTGGGTCACAGGCGGCTGAGTGGCAGGCCAAGCTGGAACCAACAGCAGGCTGCTCAACCTACAAATAAATCAATAAGTGCCGCTCCATGGAAAACCATCCTGTTCCACTCTGCTTCCTCCCCAGCCACGCTCTAAGCACCAAGTGTCACGTCAGGCATTTAGCATGTTAAATACTGACCTGTCTAGAACATAGACAAAGGGAATTGGCACATAGGGACGTAATCGCTCCAGGTGTGTATTTTATTTATTTAAATAAGTATATATGGAGAGGTTTTATATTCCAGCTCAGGACTAGGGAATTGTGGCCCTTCAGATGTTGGTGGGCTCCAGTCCCAACACTCGAAAACTGCAGACGGCATGTCCGAAGGACAGGGATGAGTCTATGTTAGGTATTTTTGTGCTTTTATATTGTAAACCTTCCTGTGATCCTGGGATGAAGAACGGTGTAGACATTTAATAAATAATAATGATAATAATTGGGATGCGGGTGGCACTGTGGTCTAAACCACTGAGCCTTGGGCTTGCTGATTGGAAGGTCGGTGGTTCGAATCCCCGTGACGGGGTGAGCTCCCGTTGCTCTGTCCCTGCTCCTGCCCACCTAGCAGTTTGAAAGGACATCAAAGTGCAAGTAGATAAATAGGTACTGCTCCGGTGGGAAGGTAAACAGCGTTTCCATGCGCTGCTCTAGTTTGCCAGAAGTGGCTTAGTCATGCTGGCCACATGACCCAGAAAAACATCAGCTCCCTCAGCCAGTAAAGCAAGATGAGCGCTGCAACCCCAGAGTTGTTCGCGACTGGACTTAACTGTCAGGGGTCCTTTAACTTTACCTTTAATGATAATAATGGTGAGACGTGTCATTCAGCAACAACTGCAGGGCCCCCAGTAACTCTGTGCCTGCTCTGGCTGATACAACTTACTGAAGGAGATGGTGATTTGCTTGAGCTTCAAAGGGTCTCCTTCAAGGGCAGCCCCCATTCATTTTACTGAGCCTTGTTCAGCAGCATTTCCAAGCAGATCAGGTCCTTGATACCACAGGAGCCAATTCCCAGAGACCAAGGTCCCTTCGGACCCCCAATTAAAATACTTGAGGGGGTCGCCCCCAAAGTTTATGGCCATTGCCATTCAAATGGTGTGTGTGCACTATGTTTTGCAGTTGATTATTCAGGTTGCGGCTTACCTGGGACCCCCCAATATTTTATTCAGGTTGGCGCGCCCCCCCCACACACACTTGGTACCCAGATGGCATCCCGGAGAATGATGCAACTTAGAGGAGAGTGTGCAGATGACTGGGGGTGCAAAGTAAGAGCCCGGGCTCTGGTGGGAGAAAATTTCCTTTGGGGGTTCAGCCCGGAGGCTCAAGCCAGATTCCAAATTAGTCGGACTTTTGTTCAATAAAGCATTAGAGTCCAAAAGAGTTTAGGACACACACCTGTGTAGGAAATATACATCACTTGGGCTTTTTAGTTTCTAGCCAAGCAATTTGTGCTGGTCCCATGGGTTTCCGTGATGCGAGGTCCGAGTCCAGTCCAAGGTTGAGGGTGCAGTATTGAAGCCGTCCGTCAAAGCTGAAGCTGGGTCCAAGGCGGGTGAGGTCAGGAGATCCGGCAGGACAGGGTGCAGGCAGGAACTGGCTACCAACAACGTTGCTCCCGCAACCTGGGACTGGGCGGGCTGGCTTTTATCTGCTCAGAGGCATAGGGCGGCCCCGGTCCACAGGTAGCTCGCCTCTCCTGGCTTGGAGGCGAGCCCTCCTCCTGCAGGAACTTAGTTCCCTCCGCCTCTCTGCCCTGAGCCTCTGCAGCTCAGGAGAGGCTGGAGGGTCACCGGACCCAGAGGCAACCTCCTCTTCCCCTGACGGGGCTGAGAGTGGAGCACCTGCAGGCAATGGGTCCTCCATCACCTCAGGAGCCAGAGCAGACTCAGCTGGTGCCTGCACCTGAGGATCCAGCACAGGTGAGGACCCTTCAGGCTCAAGCCTCAGCCCCGGCTCAGCTGGTTCTGGAGGTGGAGACTCCTGTGCAGGCTGTGATTCCTCAGGTTCAGCCTCCGAGTCCGAATCCCAGGCCATCACACAATTTCTGCCACCACAGCACCTCATCATCTCTTCATCCTTGAAGTCACTTACTCAACCCAAGGTGTTTATGTTTTTGCTGTACATGCAGAGTCCTCCTTGCACCTTATCTGGTTTTTACTCTAGCTGTCAGGTTCCTCCTAAATTGGTTGTTTCCCATTTGGTGGTGAGGCCGCACTCTTGCCTGGTGACCCTGGCCTCACTGAGAATGGGCTTTGCAGAATTTCTATCTCACTCTAGAGGCAAAATAAAATTACGCACATATCTGGGACTTCCTTTCCTCCTCAATTTCCACCTCATTTCTAAAGGAGCCCCCTTCAAGCTCTCTCACTTTCTGTTTTTGTGATGGTTCCCTGCTGAGAAGCAGCCATAAGAGGAGGCCAAAAACAATGGAGAAAAGGGCATTCGGGGAAGCCAGCTCCCGGGGCCATTTTTCAAGGGCCTGTCAAGTTCTTGGCACTGACTGGGGCGTTTGGAGGCTCAGAGGCAACCTTGAGGGCTTCACCCATTTGGTTCCGTCAGCCTGTTGTTGATTTAGGAAGGTGGAGGTTGCCGGAGATTGAAAGGAAGGTTGAGTCACCTTCCTAAGTCGACAGAAGCTTGAAGTGACCAAATACTCTCTCGGCTGGTCTGTAGCCATAAGGCTTCACAGTCAATTTTTTGTTCAGTTCATACCCATGCATAAGCCCAGGGCATAGAGAAGGTTGCCCTCAAGCCGACAGGAGCAAGCCGGCAGTAAATTACACCAAGCAAGTTGGCATTACTGTATTTTTCGCTCCATAAGATGCAGTTTTTTCTTCCTAAAAAGTAAGGGGAAATGTCTGTGCGTCTTATGGAGTGAATGTGTGGTCCCTGGAGCCAAATTACCCAGGGGCAAAAAGCAGATCATGATTTATTTATTTATTTATTTTGAAAGAGGGGTGTTGAAACAAAGCCGCTGATCACAAGCGATCGGAAGCAAGATAAGGGATGCTAGAGATAAAGGAGGCTGCCTGGGAGGGGGGAGGTAAAGACAGCAAACTTGCAAGGAGAGGAAACAGGAAGACTAAATCAATGAGGAGAGAAATTAGAAGAAAAGGAGGAGAGAAAAAACTGCTCCAGCTAAGGAAAAGACACTAAGGCAAACAAGAGGGAAGGGGGTGTTGAAAGGAAGCAGCTGATCGGTGGGATCGGGAGAGAGATAAGGGACACTAGGGATAAAGGAGGCTGCCTGGGAGGGGGGAGGTAAAAGCCCATGGATCCTCAGGATTCTTACATTGGGTCACCCCAAATTCACCATCAGATCACATAGCATGTCCGTGGCTACAGCCTGCACCAAAAAAACCCCACTGTTTCCTGGGGCTGCAATGGTGCAAAAATGTGGTTACAAAGCATGGATCCACATGGATCCTCAGGATTTTTGCCTTGGGCTACCCCAAACTCACCGTCAAATCACATGTCTGTGGCCACAGCATGAACCATAAAAATCATACATCCACTGTTTCATTCGGAATATTTTTTTTCTTGTTTTCCTCCCCTAAAAACTAGGTGCGTCTTATGGTCAGGTGCGTCTTATGGAGCGAAAAATACGGTAATTCTTTATTAGCAAAAACAGGATCTGCATGAAGCAGTAGCTGAGACTACAGTTTCCGCCTCCCCACAGCTTCCTAGTTCCCCTCCTCCCAAGCAATCTGAGACTGCGCCTGCCTGAAGCTAACTTCCCCTCCACCCTCTTCATGCCTCTCCTGGTTCTGGGAGACCAGCAGGGAGGGGAGCTTGTTGCAGCAGGAGGGGGAGATCTCAGTGCCTCTTCGCCTGCAGGACTCATCTCTGGCTCTTGAAGGGGGGAAACTCTGTATGACACCTTGAGCTCCTTATAGAAAAGGTGAGATATAAATGTCATGAATAAATAAACTCTGGAGTGCCGATAAACTCTGGAGTGCTGCCAGTCAGTGTAGACAATACTGAGGTAGATGGAGCAATGGTCTGACTCAGGCAGCTTCCTATTTTCCTACCTCGCGGGGTGCAAGAGACTCCTCCCTGCTTTCATATTTGCATTGTTCTTCCCTGGCACCTGGTATTCTGAAATATCTGTTGCTTTTAGATTCTGACGCTGAATACCAGCCCTCGCAAATCATCCCATTGCCACAGTGCAGCCACCTGGACACTGGGTGATTTATGGCTCTCAGTGTAACGAAACCTGACCCGTTTCACGCTGATTTGTTCTCTGTGGGAGTTAATTTTTTACCTAGTGGCAGCCAAGCTCTTGGTCACTGAATGCCTAACAGACAGTGCAAGGATTGATGGTTGCATGCACAAACATAGGGGCAGAGGATTTCAGATTTAATTGTGACACGTGGAAATTGCAGTGAAGGCCACAGGTAGATTGGGATTGGGATTGACTGGGTCAATTACCTGTTGAACCCCTTGAGTGTGCAGAGCAAGCACCCTGGTACTCAAAATAATAATAGTAAATAAAATTTTATTTATATTCTGCCTTCCCCAGCTGAAGCCGGGCTCAGAATGACTAACAACAATAAAAGTAACACAGTTTACATAAAATCACAATCAATTAATTGAAATACATTCTAAAATCAATTCATTCTAAAATCAGTTCAGAATCAAATTAATGGCAACCGTTGGGCTAGAGTTCTATGAGGATTACCGAAGGAGAGAGGGGGTCAGACTGTGCCTTGGCCAAAGGCCTGGTGGAACAGCTCCGTCTTGCAGGCCCTGCGGAAAGATGTCAAGTCCTGCAGGGCCCTAGTCTCTTGTGACAGAGCGTTCCACCAGATTGGGGCCAGTGCTGAAAAGGCCTTGGCCCTGGTTGAGACCAATCTAACCACCTTGTGGCTTGGGACCTCCAAAGTGTTGTCATTTGTGGACCTTAAGGTCCTCCACGGGACATACTAGGAGAGGCGATCCCGTAGGTACAAGGGTCCTGGGCCGTATAGGGCTTTAAAGCATGCACTGGTTGAACTGGGCCAGGTTCAAGGGTCTTGTAATCATTTGCAAGGCCCTTAAGAACTTGGTTCTAGCACACCCCAG